GGAAAGAGGTAACTGATCATTAAATTGTTCTTCACTAGGGAGGTGTGAATGACAAACCTTAAAACTCTTTTTGTCCCCTCACTTGACCGTTGTGTATAAACTTTAAGATGACAGTATATTTTCCCTACTTACTTTGACTATATGATTTCATTGTCTATCTAGCGTTACTGATCAGTCTGTTAATGTTTTTCTTCTTTAAAGATAGTCTATCTTTTTTAGCTTTCGTAGCTTTTTAGATTTTTCTCTTTGTCTTCGGCATGCCACAGTTTCGTCTGGTTAATTGGAAGGGATTTGTTTTTGCTTATTCTGTTCAGAACTCTTGTTCAGGACTTCAGGAATGAGGATTTCTTTGGTAAATTAGATCGTAAAAATCCCAAATCTTTTCTTTGAAAATTGCTTCTCCGGTACTCCTTTTTTGTCCTGGAAATTCGCTTTCTCATTCTACTTTTCCTACTTAACCACTCTTTTGTGTTTCCAAGTTTTACTTCTAGATTCTTCTCTGGTTTACTTTTCCTGTCTTTGTGTCTACTTTGCTGTTTAACTCATCTGTTAAGTTTTTTCCCCTTTAATTTTAATGGTTATATTTTTTTCCTCCTATAGAGTCTACTTTGTTCTGTTTAAGAAGAACAAATTTTTTTTGGTGATATTTATCTCTTCTTTCATGTTCTTAATCATTTTAATTGTCGTTTTAAAAAATATCTGTAAGGTTCTGTTACCTGGGATTCATTGCTTTCAGGTGCTGGTTCTCAAGTATATTGTGCATGCTGGTTCTCATTTTGGGAGTTCTTTCAAGTGGGATTATTTTTTCTGTGTTTTGGGTTGTAGAAGTGTTTGTCAGAATAGTTGGTGTCTGCTTTATCCAGGTGTCCATTGCCGATGCAATTTAAACTTTTGCTAGTTTCTCTCTGGCGGTTCTGTAACGTGGACTCTCCTGGGAATTTTCTCTCCTCCTGTGCATGGTACAGGCGTTGGGTTTCCATTTCTCTTGACAGCACCCCAGCCCTCTTCCTCCTCCATCTCTCTTCCACAAACAAAGTTACTTTTTTCCTCTGGGCTGATAGGTAGAAGTTTTCTCCTCGAACTTGGACTAATGTTACAACTTTTTCACTAGGATTTCACTGACTTTACACTAGGATTTGAGTTCCAGTCTCCACATTTGAGGCCACGTTTCATTTGCCCATGTGGGCGTTGAAGCCTCACCTCGTAGAAACTACATCTGGCCTCGGGTGGCAATCCTGGAGATTTGCCTTCTCATTCTGCTTTTTCTTCTTAACCATTCTTGTATTTTCCAAGTTTTACTTCCTACAGCATCACCTGTTAATTCCAAATTTTGCCCCAATTTCTTGCTCTTGGAATTTTTTGTTCTTTTTATTTCAGTTATATTTTAAAATTTAGGTCTTATATTTTATCTTGTAGTTCTATGTATTCGTAACTTTGGCTGGGATCGAGGGAGCGTATCCATGTTAGCTCAGCTTCTGATTTCCCAGAAGTAGTATTAGCTTAAGTGGTTGTTTGTATTTAGGAACAGTGTTCATTTGGTGTATGTTAATATTGGGCATTTACTTTATGTGTTCTGTCATTATTTACAAGAGTCTTTTTTTTTATTTGTTTCCTTGGGTTTTTCAGGAATAGAATTATGTCATCCAAAAACACTGACACTTTGTTTCTATAAGTTAGCCATAAAAATTTTATATCTCATCTCCTTATTTTGTTAATTGTTTTGGTTAATTCGTCCAGTGAGCATTTCTGTATTATTATTCACTTTTAAGAAGAATACTTTTAAGAAGAATCAAGAAAAAAATGTTCTAAAGCAATTAATTTATATCTCAGTTTGCATATTGACTTAATAAGAAATTATAGTGAAACTATCATGTATGTCACCAAGATGTCATTTTAAGAGTTAATTACCACAGTAATGCAAAAAATAAACACACAAATGGAGTATTTTTAGTTCATATTTTTTAAAATACAAATTTTCACTCTTAAAGATTGTCTCTTACGGTGTCCTCAGTGTGTGACTGTGTTTGCTTACATGCTCTAGTGACTGAGTGCTGGTTAATAGCAGGCTGTTGTCATAACCACGAGTAGCGCCCTCACTCCCCCCACCCACACACGGAAAGATGGAACTTAAAAAGGAATATTTATATGTGAGAGAGGTGAAATTGCACCTGTTCATTTAATTCACCTTTATTTTTAACTACTCATTTCTGTAGTATGGTTCTGCCCCTTTGTACTGGTTATAATTTAGTGTTACTTGTAGGCAGTTAATATTAACTGTGTTGTGGTTGTCATCCTCACAATACCAAGCACAGAATAACTCTCTTCAAGTGGGTATGTGTGTATTTTACCCATTTCTTTAACGTTTTTGTAAAATATTTTGGTGGGACAAAACTTTGCCTTTTGTGACTAGATTTGATGTTTCAGTAATTTGAAGGTTCCGTATCCTGTTACCTTTATGGGTGGTGATACTTACTACCACACATGTTTTATTTTGAATATATTTACATGACTCCAGTCAGCCTCAGTTCAGATATACAAACTCAGATTTCAGTGCTGAAATAGCCACAATATTTACAATTCTTAAGAGAAAGCTTGTACTTAGAACTTGTAAATTCTACTGGACATGAATTTCCTTCCTAACTGACTCCCATTGTTTCTGGTAATTTTTTTCCACTTATTTAGCCTTAAAGAGAGATTCTAGCCTTTGTTTCACTGCTCTGGTGTCAGAATCCCCCCTCTCCCCGCTTAGGTGGTCCCGCTGGTGCTGCTGCTGTGAAGACCCCCTCTGCGCTCTGGTGTGAGGCTGAGGGACTGGGCGGTGTGCAGAGGATTGGCTAAGAGCACGGGCTTTGGAATCACACAGACCTGAGTTTGAATCTTGATTCTTTTGTTTAATAACTTATGTTTGTCCTTGCAATAATTTTTTTTAATTTTTGTTTTTAAGCTTGTTTCTTCCTCTATGAGGTGACTATGTCACTTGCCTCACAGGGTTATTGTGAGGACTAAATAGGCTGGTGTATGTGAAGCGCTCTTTTTAATGCCTGACACATGGAAGGTGCTTAAGAATCAGTAGCTGTATTTGTTGCTGTTGTTTAATTTAAAGGTAGTAAACAAATTTACATATTTTTGGTGACTTGACTAGTTTTATCTTGGAAACGGTTAGAGACTAGCTTTAGGAAAACTATCTGAATGCATTTTATATCAGATAAATGGGGAGTATTTATCTTTTGAAAATTGTTGAAAATAATCCAATTTTTACAGTATGGATTAACCTACAATTAAATGTATAATACAGAGTTAGAAAAACATAGAATTCTGGAACAGTTTTTTAAAAGTTAGGCTTATATCTTAATATAATAGCTTGGCTTCCTTATAAATATTTTTTGTAGGAGTTTTAGATTTTTTAAGTTTCTCTTAGATATAGTTAAGGCATACTTGAGAATTCTTGGCCTATTTTAATGTCATTGCAGTAGACATTAGTACAGCAGGAGGAGTATGAAATTGGAAGTTTGGAGACTTGGGTTTGAGGCCTGGCTTTGGTGTTGACTTTACACGTACGTCCTTGGTCACATAACATACACCTTGTGTCTGAGTTCTAGTCTGTACCACATTGCTTGTAGCCTGGCCTGCCTCACCTACCTGCCCACTTAGTTGCTGAGAAAATCAGAGGAAATAATTATGTTAGGGCTCTTTAGGAGAGGAGGGCTATCCAGAGCAAAGATGAGTATTATCTTAGTTCTCACCTTGTTTTTGTTCATCTACGTCTTTTCAAAAAACAGTATTGGTGTTTTATAAATTTTTAGGAAGTGAAATTCATATCCCTGTTAATCAGATTTATGTGACCAGAGGCGTTCTGGTAGCTTTTTTTCTTGAATCATGAGATGGCATATTCAAAGTGAAGGTTTTGAGTCATTCCCCAGGTAGCCAGAAAACAGTCCCTGGACAAGCTGATTTTTTTCAGGAAGTATGACTGTAGCTCTAGAAATTGTTTTCAGTCTCTGCTCAGAACTGATCACCTCCATTGAGCCTTTGACTGACTACCTAGTTTTACTTAATTTGCATTCCCTCTGCATTTATGCATGTAGTTTGCAGTCTGTTACTTTGTATTTGAGTGTTTCTGTAAGTCATTTTATGTGTTTTACACGTGACCTGGTCTTGTTTTCTCAGCCAGCTTGGAGTCTCCTGAAAGGTGAGGACAGTTGTCCTTCCCTTTCTTCACTGTAGACCCGGGAAGAGGGCGCTCTGCACCCAGCGGTTTCTGACTAGTTGTGTTTAGGTGAACCTTGCACGACAACAGACTGGCGTCAGCTGGCCTAATGGAAGCGTGCATGTGCAGACATTTTCAGTTGTCTACTATAGTGTATGCCTGTTTAAAGCTAAGAGGCGTCACAACAGTGTACTTCTTGATTTAAAAAATACGATATTTAAGCTGCTGGGTGTTTCAGCTAAGACTGGACTTAATTTTTTTTGCTTTTTCAAGCCATTCTGTTAATTGTATTTTGCCAAAAGAAATCTAATAAATCTCATTAAGTAGTTTGATTTTTTTAATACTGTAATATTTTAAGGAAATGTGGTATTTGTATTTCTTATAGCTATGGTTTTAAATGATTCTTAGCAAAAAAGGAATTCTGTTTTTTGTAAAAGAAAGGCCTTTATAAAAGGTATTTTATAATAGGCCCAGTTTTCCACTAAATCAGTTTATTAAATTATCAGTAATTCTTATTATTGAAGTTTTTCCTGTGTGAACCTTGATACGGAGGAGACTTTTTTAACAGCAATTTTCCTAATTTATTTTGAAAGACTACATTTGAAAAAAAAATTCTTTGCATTTTCTTTAATCAGAGCTTTCTCTAAAACAAACTAAAACTGTCTTTTATCTTTACATTTAAAGAGTTTTGCTAAAGACGTTTCTTCCAAATGAATGTTTGCAATTTATTTGCCAGATTTTTTCTCTAAAAGCAATTTTTCCTTTCTAAGAAGCAGTTTTATATCTTCTTCAGGAATGTCACTGTCTGCTGGGTCTTCTCCTCTTCATTCCCCCAAGATCACTCCACATACTTCTCCTGCTCCCAGAAGAAGAAGTCACACTCCAAATCCAGCAAATTACATGGTGCCTTCTAGTGCCTCTACGTCAGTCAGTAATCCCGTTTCTCAGACTCCATCTTCTGGGCAGGTGATCCAAAAGGAAACCGTCGGGGGGACGACTTACTTTTATACAGACACAACCCCAGCAGCTTTGACTGGAATGGTAGGTCTGCACTAAAGGAGAGAAGACAGAGCTCCTAGAACAGTTTCTTCTTGTAAATGAAGTTAATGAGGAGGTTATCCCCTCTTGTATCTTTTTACTGTGATGTGAAAAAGTAATTTCCTAATTTAGATAATTCTAATCTGTTCTTATCTCTTCAAAGTAATCTGTTTCTGCATTTTTAATAACTGTATAGTTTTGGACAAGTCAGACGTTAGATTACTCCAGCTCTGGTTTCGTGCTTCATGGCTTATGGGGTTACCTCGTACTTTTGTTAGCTGGAGTTGATGTTTGCTGACATTTGTTTCTAGCTATAGGTAGTTGCACCTCTAGTAAGAAATTAGAGAAAGTGTACGGTTTCTTATCAGTATTTACTGAAAGCGGACTGATGATAAACACTTTCTCAGACAAGGCAGTGATTTCATAGCTAGAACCCTGCAGAGTGGTGGCTGCTGTCATAAGGGGCCTCCAATGTGGGTCACTGAGAAGGAGGGAGGAAGTTTAGGGAGCTCTGATGGTGCCAGAGGAAAGAGCTACCAAAGAGCTGCCAGGAGAGGAGAGGGGGAGGGGGCAGAGAGGGAAGTGCTATGTTCCATAAATTAATTGTACCTTTTTAGCTTCATAACTTTGTCTATGTTGAAAAATGGTTTAACTATAGAAAAATAAGTAGTAGATGAAGATCTCATGAGTAAGAAAACCAAATTCCATCAAAGTATGAAAGCTGGTCTGAACCATAGACATTTGAGAAGATTGTGGACAGTAGGCTTAGATGAAAAGTGCATTTGGATTTTCGGAAGCAGATTTTGATCCCACAAGTTAAATTCATGATTTCGTTTTGATTGTATTGAATCTTTTACTAAAAGGCAATTTGAGTGGACAGAAAACAGGTTTTTTTGTTTTTCCTTTGTAAGAGTCCCAGTTCTGCCGTTGTTTTGTGGCTCTGGAATCTTGGTACCTCTGAGACTGTTTCCCCAGTTGTAAATGGGAATGATAGTGCCTAACTACCGTGTGAGAAGTAAATGAGAAAGTATTTATAGAAGTACTTGTAAATCATGTAAAATACTTTTTAAAAAATAATAAAATAGCTAATAGTTTTTTGTTTTGTTTTGTTTTTGGTCAGAGATCTTTCAAAAATTATCCCAGAACAGCTTGCCGAACAGAAGGTCAAATAATTGAGGTAGAGTAGAGACTTTCCTTGATTCTTTCAAGTAAGAATTCCATTAATGTTTTACTTTGGGGGGGTTATTATATTTCATAGTTATTTACATTTTTATTATGCTTTCTTTTAATCACATTTGTAGAAAAAAGGTGTAATGTATAAAGAGGTTCTTCTGTCACAAAACTGCCTCAGCTGTTTTTGTAGAGATTACATATGGCACATATTTATAATGTTTTTACTCTTCAAACCATTCTTAAAAATACGCTCCTGGGAAAGCTGAGGTAGTCAGGCCAAACTCTGCTACATTCTGATGTAAGGAAACCAAGGCAAGAAAAAGTGGTAGTACTGTCATTGCAGATATAGGTTAAAGGAAACCTTACAAACCACTGTGCAGATACAGTGAAGGCAAAGAGAGGCAGAGGAAAAGGGCAGAAAGCAGGGCGGTGGGAAGAGTCCAACTGGACAAATGAAAGACAAGAAGCCGGAAGCAGAATTTAGTCACTTAGTTGTAGTTTGATGGGAAGGTAAATATATTGTTGCCCCCTTCTGTTCATTTAAGCTGCTGACCCCGGAGTATGTTGGTCCTCTGCTGTTGTAGTTTGAGGTATTAAACAAGTATCTAGATAACACTTTGTTTAGTTTGGCTGCAAAAAACCCTTCCAGAGGGCAGTTCTTTGGGCGGCCAGGCAGTGTTGCTTCATTATCTGACTCTTCCCAAGCACTTTTAGTACCTACTTTCTTCCTCTCTTCCAGTTGTTTTAAAAAATTCTTACCAACTGTTTGTGTAAGATTTCTTTCAAAGACTTAGTTTTGCCTCTCATTGAAGCTAAAATTTTACTGTGTCTGAACAAATGTTTCTTTTCTCATCAGAGTTTTAAAAATTATCAAAATAAAGATAAAGCCTATCAATTGAGAAAAATTGATCATTACACTTTCCCCCTCCCTACCTTTTAGGTGTTTCCAAACTATCATATTTACCCTCCAACTGCACCTCATGTTGCTTACATGCAACCAAAAGCGAATGCACCTTCCTTCTTCATGGCTGACGAACTCCGCCAGGTGGGCTGTCAGAATTCATTGTGGGAAGACGTCATGTCTGTTCTGTTTTAGCAAAGAACTGGAGAAAGGACAGAGCGCTTCTCAAATCTGATTTAATCAATACGCTATACTAAAGCAGATAAAACTTAGAATTCGTGAGTTCTAATTGATATATTTATTTAAAGAAACCCGTTTTTCAAGAAGATTGCAAGTAATTGTGTTAGGATAGAAAGCATGGAATAGCGATTCAAATGGGCTGCCTTTCTGCATCTCATGAGCAGTGCATTGGAAGGTCTCTGTGAAGTATATAAATCAATAATTTAAATCATTTCTAACTGCTAGACAACTTTTTGCTAATATCTGTAGTAGTTAGCTAAGGAGTAGCTAGTAAGTAGTTTGGCTTAGAAATAAACTTCATTTGAAGAGAGCTCAGTATTTTCTATTAAGTAGGTTTCATAAAATAATTTTTTGTAAACAGTTATATATTATTTGATGTGTAGAATTTTATTTTTACACTTAGATCTCAGAAATATTTTTATTTCACGGAAGTAGGTTGCACCAGTATAATGTTTATAGAGTGGATTATTAAAGAGCTTAGCCACAGAATTAGTTGTATGTTTTGGGTTACAGCCTGCTGCTTGCACCCGTCCTGAATTATGGGCAGGGCTGTCTATCTAGGACTGGAATTTGAACACTTTACCATTATTAGGAATGTTATTTCATGATATCAACATTAAAAACTCACATGCCAAGAATATTGATACTTATGCTATTTAGTAATAATAGAAAATCCAGATTTCAGAATCCGTGTTTAGATGTAAATATACTTATTTTCTTTTCTTAGGAGCTGATTAACAGACATTTAATAACAATGGCTCAAATTGATCAAGCAGATATGCCAGGTAAAATGGAAGAGCTGTATAGGGCAAGGAGTGGTGGGATGGTGGGGTGGAGAGCTTCCATGCCCTCACCAGCTGTGCCACCCTCCCAGCACCTCACTGTGCTCACCAGCCTGTCAGCTCTCCGAATGCCACTCTTCAGGAGTTTTTGTGGAAGTCTGGTTGTCTGGGCATGGCTGATTAAATCTCTGGCCATTGGTAATTAACTCCGTTGCTGGCCTTTCCCCTCTCCCTGGAAGGCTGGGGGTGGAGCTGAAAGTTCCATGCTTCTAATCAAGATTTGGTCTTTATTTGTTTTTTATTATATACAGCATAGCAGAGCTTTTTATAGTATATGATAAAATTTCTCAAAGAGTAAAGGTCCACGACTGCTGAAAGCACTTTGAAGGTTCTGATTAGGAATCTGGGTGTACTGGGAGAGGAGAGGCTTGATTTGCATCTGCAGTAACTAAAAGAGTGTGGTAATGGTGCTGAGTTACACACGCTGATTAATGGAACAGACTCTGGAGAGCCCTGGCACACTCTGTGATGGAGGGGGCGCATCGGTGGGGAAAAGGAAGGCTTGGGGAAAATGGTTTTCTTTAAGGTAAAAGATGATATCATTATCTCAGACCACATGCAAAAATCAGCTCCAAATAGATTTAAGAGCATAAATGTCTAAAACAAAACTTTAAAACGCCTACTATAAACATAAATGAATAGATTTAACATTTCATAGGGAAAGATTTCCTATATAGGAGACAAATACAGATTGTTGATGCTTAAAGAAAATACTGATGAATTTTATTGAATTAAAAACAGTCCAGAGATATTTGTAGTAAAGGAAAAACTTCAGAGAAGATACTTACACAATTGACAAAGAAAATAAAAACCACAAACCAGTAAGAGCGTAAAAAACTCAACAGAAGAATGGCCGCAAAATAGGAATAGGTGTTTCAAGAAAGAGGAAGTTCACACAACCAAAAATACGTGCAGAAATGTTGAACATTACTGATGATTAGGGGAAGACGAGAGATCATTTGACAGTCTGACCGTGGGCAGCGTTAGGATATGGACCTGCGGGTTCTCCAGCATGTTGCTGCTGGTAGAATAGATGGGTGAGCCTGTAATCAGTTTGGACAGTTCCTAAGTTGAATATCTGTTACCCAGTGATTTAGCAGCTCCGCTTCTAGATGTAGGGAAGCTGTACATTTTTAACCAGAGAATGTATGAAGTACTCATAACATCACTGCTCGCCGTCGCAGATACCGCGATCACTTCAGATGCCCATCTTGAAGGACAGCCGATGGATTAGCTGATACTGTCAGACAGTGGGATGTTAAACAGTAGTTTAAATGAAGAAAGGACATTTCAGAAAGAAAGCAACAATACAGAAGAATCTTAGTAATGTAATGTTAGGGGAAAAAAAATGAGTTTCAAGAAGCTATATATAACAGGGAAGGGTATAGCTCAGTGGTAGAGTGTGTGCTTACCATGCACAAGGTCCTGGGTTCAGTCCCCAGTACCTTCATAAAAAACAAACAAATAAATAAATGAACCTAATTAATTACACCCTCCTGCTAAAGAAATTTAAAAAAGGAGAGAGATTACATTTAGTATACCTTTTTATGAAGTTAAAATTTATATATGTATTTGCATTTATATATATGTATATATACATACACAGTCTTTTGAGGAGTACATATAGGTGTAATAATACTATATAAAAAGGGGAGGAAGAGAGAAGGACGGCGGCGGTTAGAGAGAACCGTATATTTAGATGACAGTTAAAGGTCTGAGGTTTTGTTTACTGTGTGTTTTCTTTGGGGAATGTGGTAGGCAAAGTTGTTTTGATTTTTCTTTTTAATTTTTTAATATTTTGCTAGGGATTAAAACTATTCCACTGAATAGTTTGAGAGTTTGATACAGATTGCCATATTTGCACATGCACATAGACACGGGCGTATTGCATATATACTCTAATTTATTGTTATTTGTTTTGAATTTTTTGTTTAAAAAGCAGAATTCATATGCTTTAACACCATTGTCTACGTTTTGTACAAAATAAAATGTTTAAAGAAGAAATCTGTCTTGATTTTTATTTCACAGCAGAATCAGTAATGTTTAATATCTCTAAGTGATAGTGCAAATTGTTTCTAATAACTGAGAAACAAGAGTTGTGCTATAAAAGATAAATATTTTTGAGTTCATGAAATCTAGTTGTTCCTTGGTTGTTTTATAATGCCTATTTTTATTGATAGTGAAACCAGTTTGTTCTATAGAATTGTTATGAATGTAGACATTGTTGTAGGATATAAAGTGTGTTTGATACTGATAGTTTATAGATTTGATTTCTCTTGATTACTCTGAGAGACTGTGAATGCCTGCAAGTTAAAGTCATGTTCCTGTGAATTACTCTAGCAGTCCCTACAGAAGTTGACAGCTACCATAGCCTCTTCCCTCTAGAACCACTGCCACCACCCAACCGGATACAGAAATCAAGTAATTTTGGATACATTACGTCTTGCTACAAAGCTGTAAACAGCAAAGATGATCTGCCATATTGCCTTCGGAGGATTCATGGTGAGGAAGATAAGTTATCCTCTCTTAGGAGCGTATTATTGAGGCTAAGATTACTCAGACATTCCTGAATAGGTTTAGTTATTTAACATGAATTTAAAGGATAATAAATAAGTGCATTATTTCATCTGGATAGTAGTATCTCATAAATGATGTATAACATGGCCTTTTCTTCACATTTCTGATGAAGTAAGGGGAAGGTGTCATTTACAGCTCAGTAGAAAAATTTTCTTTTTCAGGTTTTCGTCTTGTTAACACAAAGTGCATGGTATTGGTTGATATGTGGAAAAAAATTCAGCATTCAAATATTGTAACCCTGCGTGAAGTATTCACCACTAAAGCGTTTGCAGAGCCTTGTAAGTAGTTTGTAATTGTTCTGCTGGAGGGCTTCAGGATTTGAAGCCAGCTTGCAGTAATGAGTGTTTGTGTTTTATTTTAAGCCCTTGTGTTTGCGTATGATTTCCACGCCGGAGGAGAAACGATGATGAGCAGACACTTCAATGACCCTAATGCCGATGCCTATTTCACAAAGAGAAAGTGGGGTAAGAAAAGATTTCAGCAAGCTGTGTCTGACACATGTCTTTGCTCTGTGGAAGAGTAGTTTTGTATTTTAAAATACATGTGAATTTAGCCTTGTAATCATTCAGCTTAAAGACTTTACGGCATTTAAAAAAGAAATATATTAAAGAAATGGAGACAATACGTAACAAATTAGGAAATAATGTATTATGTGTACAGACTGAGATAAAGATGGGTTGTAAAAGAATCATGTAAATATTTGAAACTTAAGTGACTGAAACTATGATGAAAGTTTTTTCCTCCTAAAATTTTTTATTTTTCAAACCTACAATGCTTTCTGAATAAAGATGGTTTGGAAAATTCAGTAAATTGAAAAATAATCCCTGTAACTTCATCACTGAAAGCACAGCCATGTTTAAATCTTGTGGATTTCTTCTCAGTCTTGGTCTTACGTTTTGCCTTTGCATTGTCCAGCGTGACTGTGTGCCATTTATGAAATTATTTCCCTAAACAAATGCTTTTGCTTAAAGGTAGGATTCCATGTTACTTAAAGAATTAGTCTTCAAAACAAATATTCAGGTAACTTTTACTTTAATGGAGAATACTTATTTTGAGGGGGGCCCCTTTCTAATATTTACTTGAAGAATTGTTTTATAGTTCAAATATTACACAGAACCAAAATATTTTAATTACATTCTAACAAATGTTTATTAAAGTATAAAATCATTTCAGAGTAAAAATCCTTTTAGAGATGTCTATTAATTTATTTATTTGCAGAAGGAAAATGTATATATCATTTTCCTGTTTGGGGAAAGAAAAGAAACATTACCTTCTTTGCTATGGTTTTTAATTTGGTTAAGATTTTTCTGACTATATCCTGAGAGAAAGTGAGGAGGGAGAAGACTTGAGTCCATGTTCCAATCTCTTTTGGATCGTGACTCCTTTAAGGACCGGCATTATGGATAAAAATATGTTACTTCTGTTTACTCCTAACTGCTTTCTGACAGTTGGAAGAAGAAAGCTGTGGTTACATGGCTGTTTCACATTAAAACTCTGGTTGCATAGTGTGGGCATGTTTTCCCTTTTTGCCGTGTCATCTGGAGCACATACATAATTTTGTTGAAGGGGATGTGGTATAACTTTCCCTATAGATGAATATAGCTGGAGTTGTTTAAGTTTATTTTAGTAATAACATCTGTGAAATGACTGTTGGCTTTAATTTATAGCTGGGTTTCTTAACCTCAGCACTGCTGATGTTTGAGGCTGGATCCTTATTTTTGTGGGGCCATCCTATGCGTTGCTGGGTGTGCAGTAGCATCCCTGGCTTCCACCCATTGCACACCAGTTACAACCACCTCCTCCAGTTGTGACACCAAAAATATCTCTAGACACTGCTAAGTGTCCCCAGGGGGCAGAATTGACCCCTGTTGAGAACCGCTGATTTATAACACTCCTTTCCAGTGTTTTTTTTTAATCTTAATTATTCTGTTGTAAGTGTTGACTGGTTATTTGATACAGTATGTTTACATTTTTGCAGGAATAAGTTCTCTTTCAGATATTTGAAAGTGTTGTTTAAAAGTTAGTAACTTCCCCAAATGTACCATATGTACTTTAATCACAGCCACTTGTATTACAAGGCAACCTTCTGTTTTCCCGGTGTGAATATTTAACAAAGAAGGAAAAAAAGGCCAGTGTTCGTTTAAACTTGTAGAGACTTAAGTGGAAGTCTAATGCTTTCTTATATTATTTAATTTGTTAACTTAGCACAAACTGAAAAATCTCATTTTGTAAGATGCAGTAATTATGAAATGGGAATAATAATGCCATGCCGTGCAGGGATTGTGGAGAGAAGTTTACAGTGACAGAATCTGGCACACTGTGAACTGTGTTTGCTATAAATGCTTCTTTTCCTATTACCACATTTATTAAATACTTCTGTTAAAACTCTTCATGCTCATCTTTGTCTTGGCTTTTATCACTAGAGCCACTTATTGAGTCATCTAACACTGTTTTCCAGGTTATATTTTTTCATTCTGTCTAAATTGAGGGATAGTAGTTTTTGAATTTTGTATTTGCTTTTCCCTAGAAATTTTGTCACAAGCCATAAGTACTTATTTGTTGTTTATTTTCTCCACAGTTAACCATATAACTGTGTTTCTTTTATAACAGATTCAGAAAAAGTTTGTTTACAACCATATGAGCACTTGGATTATCAGGTCATATTCCCTGAAATAATTGACAGAATCTAGATTAAATTTTTATGGCTCCTTTCCTACTGATTAACAGTGATGCAGAAAGTAGTATTAAGAAGCACTTCCAAGAGTTGAGAGAATCAAAAGGATCACTTTCCATGGTAGACCAGATTACTTTTGTGTTTCATCATTACACATAAGTGACATATTCGGTGTTTTACATTCATGTTTTTGTGAATTGGATGCCATCCTGTCTAACCGACGTGGTGTAGTAGAGGAGGCTGAGAATTAAGAACGATAAGAAACTTTTTAAGTTCTTACTTTTAAGTTCTCACTAAAAACCTAAACTTAAATTTTATATATATATATATATATATATATATATATATATATATATATATATACACACACACACATAAATTAACAAGTTGTGCAGTGAATGAACATGAATTTTCTTTGTTAATTTTGGTTTGTTTTAGTCTTTTAGCTGATTACTTAAGTAAAGATGCCATTTTAAAATTTGTTTGTGTTATAGGTCAACATGATGGACCTCTGCCCAGACAGCATGCTGGGTTGTTGCCAGAATCTCTCATTTGGGCATATATTGTCCAGCTGAGTTCTGCGCTGCGTACCATTCATACAGCAGGTTTGGCCTGTCGAGTTATGGACCCAACAAAGATTCTGATAACTGGCAAAACGAGGTACTAGCATTTTGAGTGTTGGCTTCTTTATTGAGCATCTGACCTATGAGAGCTCAGTAAACATAGCATGATGATTTGTTTTAATTCTACCTTTTCATATATTCCATCCAGAAGAACTGCTGTGACTTTGGTTTCATTTGTAAGTTTTTTTAAAATGTTGACTTCTTAATAAAATGCTGATTGTTAACCAAGATCTTATAAGGGTTTGGGAGGTATATATGGTTAGGGTTGGGCAGATATCTGAGTAATACCAGTACAGCTTTTCTATATGCAGCTGTGCTTCTCAGGTTTTGGCGTGAATCTGAGTCACCAGCAGGCTCAGTGAGCACAGGCTGCTGTGCTCTGCCCCCAGAGTTCTCAGTCAGGAGGTCTGGGGCGGGCCTGAGCGTGTGCATTTCTGACCCGTTCCTGGGAGGTGCTGTTGCTGGATTGGGTCCCATGCTTTGAGAACCACTGATGCAGAGTTAAGTAAAACAGACCTTGACATTAGCAGGATTTTTATTTGAGTTGCTGAAATTTTGAGAATTGTCTTGGACAACCTGGCATAAAAAGCTCAAGATCCAGTTGCAGGTTATTTGGGTTCTTATCCTGGCTCTGTTCGTTAACTAACAGCAGGTTACTGGACGGCTTGGTGCTCAGCAATCCGTGAGACAGGCACTGTTGTTGCCTCCATTGTCCGTGTTTATAAGATACCTGCCGCGTAAGATTATTGAGAGGATTGAATGAGTCAATACATATAAAATGCTTTGAGTGGGGCCTAGGACCTTTTCAGCAAGTGTTATGAAACTAAGTCTCTTTTCTTGAATAACTAATAAAGCAGCAGCTTGGTGTGGTGAAAAGACCACTGGCCTGGTAGTCCAAAGATGTGAGTTATAGTCCTGGTTTCACATGTTCCTGACTTTCATAACCTTGTCTCTTGATACCTGTGAGCCTCAATTTCCTCATCTCTAAAGTGGGGATGGACAGGAAGTAAGACCAGATAGTGTTCTGAGATCCTTGCTGTTATAGGAAATGTTAAAGTTCCACTAGTATATAATTTTTTAAAATCTCATTTTAATTATTTTAATTTTCTGGTCTTCAAAGGTTGCGAGTAAATTGTGTTGGAGTTTTTGATGTTTTAACGTTTGATAACAGTCAGAATAATAATCCATTGGCATTAATGGCTCAATACCAGGTGAGTAAGAATTAACATGGATACTTTCTTAATAACTGAAGGCTTGATTTTTTTAAGATAAACTTTATTTTAAGGTATTTCAGGGTTTTAAGTCTAGATTTCAATTTATTCTGGGGTGATCTCTCTGCAAATTTTGAACCTGTATTCTTAATCACTGTGATGTGTTTAGTGTAGAGCCCTTATAAGTTGGGATACACAGAATTAATGACAGTGTTAGAGACAGTAGCTGTTCAAATGAAAATGCATTTATAGGACTAGGAGATTTGTCCTCAGCATAGATTAAAACAGATTACTTAGCTAAATGAAACATATTAAATGACATTGTACTTTTTCCCACTTTTTAATGTGTTAAAATCACACCTAGTTTTTACTTTTAGAACAGTTGTCCCACTACCAATCCAAAAATTTTATTTTCAAAGGAATATTGTTGTGTTGCCATTTTCTAAATAATTTTTTTCTTTTGCTTAATCAAAGCCTGTCACTCATGTCTTGTACATTGTTAGAAGTTGGTTGCAGAATGACTGCATAACATTGTGGATTTAGGTCCCATTATGTTCTTAGTTATTGGTTCTTCTTTCTTGATTAACACAAGGTGTGGGAGAGTAAGAATTTATCTCTGCAAGGAGCACTAAGTGTAGTTGCTTTTGCCTTGATTGCCCTATGGAAGTAAGGTAGCTGTTTAAAGTGAATATATCATTCAGCTTGTCCCACAGTGCTTTATGTTTGTTTGGAGGATATGCAAAGCAGCTGTCATTTTAAGATAATGTTAGTTTTTTTCATGTAAGAAATTTCTGGTGTTTCTGAATATTTATTAACTTACAGAGGTTTGATATAAGGCAGAATCTCTTATTTATGTGGAGAAACAAGGAGAAGACCATCTTACCTTCCACTGCCCTTCTCTTTTCATTTTCTTCTGTTTAAATCTTTGAAAGATTTTAGTTCACTATATAAGACAAAATTTCAGAACAAAAAGGAAAGCCAGAATGAGCAGTAGAGTTTAAGTAATGTTTAGTATTCCAGTTAATTCATGCATAAACCTCTTCCTTTTTCTACTGGACCACGGATGGTGCAGTCCCCAGACTTGAAGGCGCTCATCACACTCAGTTGCCATGTAGCCCTTTCACAGCCTGGTCCTTCCCCTCTGCTGGTTCCCACTAACCGCGGCAGCAGCCAAGCTGTCCTGGTTGGTAGCGCCATCTAGTGGGCACTGCGTGGAAGACTCAACCCCCACCAAACCCCGACCCACCACTGTCTTCTGCCTAAGGGAGTTTACGCCTTCTTTCTTATCTAGGATGGTTGTTTCTTAGCTACTTTTCTGCTTAACTTCTGTCTTACACTTAGTGCCTAAGTAATTGGCTCTGAAATTTTTTCTTATAATCTTTGTGCTCCTGAAAGTGACTGTTGACTGTTAAAATACTAGTGATCTTTATATATATCCAGGAAAATAATATTAAACTTTTGAAGAGAATTTAGGCATTGTTTAGAACCAGTGCCATCAACCTCTGTTGCAAGTGTTTGGAAACCCCGTGTCTATATTAGGTTTTGTTTTGTTTTGTTTTGTTTACAAATGTAGCCTCACAGTACCTCTTCATTCTTCTCTATTCTGAGTAGAATTCCTTTTTTAAAAATTACTAGTGTAAGGTAAGAATAGTTTGATTTTATTTTTCTGTATCAAAGTGTTGTTTTCCATTTTTTCTTTGCAAATGTACATAATTTGCATCATGTTATGGGTTGTATAGTTACCATGAAAAACAGCTCTTCTTAAGAAAAAATAATTCCAGAGTTCCAAACAAACAGCTTTAAAGTAAGCATTTGGGGCAACTGACTGGTAAGTTAGGAACTGCCTTCATTCATAACTCAGGCTGCTTTCAGCCACTTGTCACCTTCCCTTTATTTTTCAGTGGTAGAGGACATATCAGGTTTTCGTTCTTTCCTTTTTTTGGATGGGTGCATATATGTAGAAGATTTTTCATATAGCTTATAGTAAGGTACAGGAGACAGTCCCAAACAGGGGTTTGTGATTTTTACAGAGAAGAGGGTGCATGAGAAAGGAGTGCATTGTTTCTTGTAGTCTATTTTTCATAGTCTGTTTCAGGTACGTGAATAGAGACTGACTTTCAGTAAAATGTACATAAGTAGAGCCATAGATAGAATCAGTGAATAACCAAGAAATCAAGAATCAGGAAGAAACTGAAAATGAGTTGGGGGGAAAGCCTCCAGAATTCAGCAAATGAGGGGAAAGCCAGGTGGAGGTAAGAAGCAAAGTAGCAAATGGAAAATTGTTAAGCTGGGAAATAGGAAAGGAGAGCTATGGACTTTCTCTGCTGTCAAACTCTCTTAATTAAGCAGGGCTTCACTAATAACATCTTTCATTTAAAATCAGTTCTAATTTAATCTGGATTTCATGTCATGTGTACTTCATTCCTACTAGTTGGCGTTCCCACCTTGAGCCAGCTTTAGGAAGGTGGTGGGATGTGCTCAGAATGAGAACCCATACAGCCTGTCAGTTGTCTTCACGTTCGTCTTCCCGTGGTACAATAGGGAACGATGAGATGTTCTAGGTAGATTCAGGGTGGAGCGAAACCGGAAGTTCTGCTGTTTAGGGCTGGGAGGCTGTGTGTCGGCACGTGCTCCCCAAATACCTGATACATACCAAGAACCTTGAGCTTGCTTGACCGGTGGCTTTGGATTGAAACGCTTGTACAAATTTCTAATGAGCATTTACGTGCGCTGATTTCTCTTGATCAGCATTTTTGTGATTTCATCAACACGGCTCGGAATATTTTACTTTAAAGAATGTTCATTCTCGAGAAGGGTTGAGAAAGATCCTCCTTGAGTTCACTCCCAGCAGTGCCCTCCAGAGAGCATAAGCCGTGGCAGCAGGGTGAGAGCCCCTCCCTCCTGCCGGTCTGGGCTCCTGACTCTCCCACGGATGAGGTTTTAGTTTTTCTGGCACGAATCCTTGGCATCTCTTGTCCTGATAGAGTCAAATTGTTTGTCTAATCAGGTTCAAAGTGTCTGATTTACAGATGCTAGTTTGGGATAAATTTTTAAATGTGAATTTTTATGTGTTATTTTAGTAAGGGATTTATTTTACTTCCGTTTGTTCTTTATTATTTGTGTAGAATGTTGCTAAGGATAGCTTTATCGTCCTAAAGTTTCATTAGCGATTGCCTTGGAATACTCCCTTGATTTCTCACGTACACCATTTATGTACATCCACAAAACCAGTGGTTCTCAGCCCTGGCTGCATATCTGTCTCTTACAAAGCTTTGAAAAGTACCACCATGTGGCTCTTACCCTAGACTAATAACGCCAGAACTGGAATGAAGGGACAGCCTCTGGGTGACTCGGTTTGTTGTTTGAGCTCCTCCAGTGATTTTAATGTACAGCTAGGTTTGAGCACTCCTGTAGTAAAGCGCTGTTCTGTAAATAAACACGTATCTGGTAATTCCGATGAGATCCAGGTTTTGAAGATTCGTGTAAATTTTCTGTAGAAATTACTTCAGACGATTTCACTGAACTCTGAGCTCCTCCACTCTCTAGGAATATGATCATTAATAGCTACCTGCGAGGCAGGGCCACTTGGGGTGACCATTCTGTTTCCTGGAGTTACAGTGGGTGATTGAGAGCTTACCTCAGTTGAGCCAGCTGTCTTTTGAAAATCCGTTTAGAAGGAAAGCCTGAGAGTGGCAAATCTTTTTTTATTATTATTTTTTTAATGGGTAGGAGACCAGGTGGTTACAGAGCTCAGTGCTTTTTTACAGTAAAAGTTGTCTATTTGGAAACGAGGGCAGATGGTTTGCAGCGTTTCCGATGTCCTGGAGGATGTGTTCTGAAGTCAGGTAATGCTGATGCTGTGTTTGAAGTAAGGGAGTAACTTCTCTTCAAGTAATTCTTCAAACTCCCACTATATTTTGTGCTTCATGGGAAATGAGAAAAGTGCCTGTCGTGAATTGTAATGATCACTGCAAAGCAACTGTATGGGTAACCAGCCTTAAATTTCTTGTGATAGTAAGAATATCTGTTCTATTTAGATACAAAAATTAGAAAGAAAAATTTTTTAAGCAGCAGTTCTGTAGTTGGCATGTGAATTGCTTGGAATAATGTTTCTTAAAATATCACCTTAATGAGAATTACCTGGGTGCTTTAAAAATGTTGGGCCTGTTCCTGGACCTGCTGAATGAGAACCAAGGGTGGAGTGGCTCACAAGTGGCCTTTTTAATGAGCTCCCGGGTGATTCCGATGAGCACCAGTGTTTGACAGCTCTGTGCTGTTTTTCAGCCTCTTTGTACAAATGCTTTTTCCATGCAGGCAGTAGTGTCAGTGTATTAAATTTGTACCTACAAAAGAAAAATTAAAAGTTATATTTATTCTTTCATGTCAGCAAGCAGATCTGATATCATTAGGAAAAGTTGTGTTGGCTTTGGCTTGCAACTCTTTGGCAGGAATTCAGCGAGAGAATTTACAGAAAGCCATGGAACTGGTGACAATCAACTACTCCTCTGACCTGAAGAATCTCATTTTGTAAGTTTTAATATAATGATCATATGAGATAAGATAGAGCTTTTTCATGAGGACCTTTTATAGTGATTCTGTGTATTTTAGTTTCCACTATTTAAAATCAGGGGAAATATAATTAAACAGCTTTTAATTTCTTTATTTTTATTGCTAAGTGTATCTTTCTTGGAATACATTCATAAACCAGTGTGTTTAAATTAGTTACTGATATTTTAAACATTTGGCCAAAGGATGGACCCTATAAAGCTGCATTGGTATCTTCTAGCTACATGTGACCTTTTAAGTTTAAATGAATTAAATAAAATGTGAAAGTCAGTTCCTCAGTCACACCAGCCATATTTTAAGAGCTTAGAAGCCGCGTGTAGCTTCTGTATAATAATTGGACAGTGTGGACATGGAACATTTGGATCATCTCAGAAAGTTCCATGAGGCAGTGCTGCTCCGGAGAGGGATCAGGTATCTTTGTGAAAGCAACCTGGCGTAAACAACCTCAGAGGCAGCCCAGCTCCAGAAAGCGTGTGTGTGAGGGGCCCCGCATTTCTCCTCCAGTAGCGTCATACTCCGGGGGATTCTTGAGTATGGGTTTGCGTGGTTTTGGCTTAAGAGAAGCCCAGTGCGGACTGCTGTCCCCACAGAAGGACTTCTCCCTGTCTAAGGTACATCTAACACTGGGGAGTTCCAGAGGATGGACAGCCATAACTCTTAACATAAGTTACTCAAGGGAACACATGCGAGGAAGTCTCTTGTGAAATTTTTTTCTACTATGTTCTAGAAGCAATTAGAGCTTATTGATCCTTTTCAGTCTCTTTTAGCTTCCAGCTGTTCCTTCTGATCTTTCTGTGTAACCCTGGATGATCCAGTTTCTTTTTGGACTAGCCCTGTGGTATGGAATCGAGGGTTGGAGGATGGGGCTGCCCACCTGTGCTTTGTTGCACTGGCATAAGTGTCTTGCTTGTGACAGAGCCCTGGAAGCCAGTGGTTACCTGGTTCCTTTTAACAATCAAATGAGATGATTTCTCTTTTAAATGAAAATATTTGCTTCGTGTATTACCACGACAGTGATTCCTAGCGTGCCTTGCGATGCCTAGGACGTCGTAGATAATACCAAGTTACAATTTTCCTTCTTTAAAAAAGTGAGAGTAAAGGATGTAAATGTAACAAATTGGCTGTACATTAATAATTACTGAAACTGGGTGATGGGTACATGGGGATTCATCATACAGTCTCTCTACTTTTATAAATGTTTGAAATTTTCTTTAATAAAAGAATAAAAAAAGTCATACTTTCATACTAACGAATAACTAAAATTTATAGAACAATAAACTATGTGTCAGGCACTTTTGAAATGATTGATGCAAATTAATTCACCTAATTCTCCCAATAACTATATATATTAGGTACCATTCTTAGCTCCATTTCAGGGATGACAAAAGTGAGGCTTGGAGATGTAAAGTACCTTGCCAAAATAACATAGCTTAAAATGACTTTTAAGTATGAGTAGTTAGATGTAAAATATGTCAGTAATTATAGGTGAATGGTTAAGACATAGATTATCCACATGGATTTATAACATTCATTTATTCAACAAAAGAATGGCTACTGTATGCCAGATGCTGACAGTACTTTGAATAAGATGAACAAAATTCCCCATGCTCTGAAGCTTCCACCCCAGTGAGGAGGAGCTGCTAAACATATAAGCCAGTAAGGTGTCCTATGAATAAAATAAAAGAAAGATTTCACAGAGAGTGAAAGAGTGGGAGCTGCTCTAATGAGAATGGTTAGGACATGGCTTCCCTATCAGAATAAGCAATAAAAAGGTGATGATCATCATTGTGTTCGGACAGGTAACCCTTTGACATACGTAGTATCTTTCTGCTTTAATTATGATAGAAGAAATTGACTTGGTCTTTTCTGATACGTGTTAGTGCATGAAGATTTCTCATAAATATATGTACTGTGACAGCTGCTGGTAAAAGAAGTCGCAGAGCAGGAGACAGCTTCCTAAAAAGCTGAACCCTGTTTGACTTCCAAGATGGGAGACCTAGTTTTAGTTACAAAAGTTATTTTCAAAGAGCAATGGAAAAATTTCCCTACCTACAGCCACCCATCCCCTCTCCAGAAAAGCTTGTAACAATGTTTTCATCTCCTACTATTGTAAAGGAGGGTTTGAGAATAGAAATATGGTAAGTGTAACCCTACCCACCTTTCCTTTCCCATTGTCATAATAGCAAAAAAGTTAGAGAAAGAAACATTTTTACAGTTTTCTCCATTGTCTTTTAAAGTCTTCCAGAGAAAAGAAATGTAATTATTAAGCTTTAAAAATGAACTTGACTTGCATGAAAAATTTTTTCAAAATTGTGCACACTAACATGATGGTGGCAGCAGGACCCGTGTGCTTGTGGGTTATGTTTTTTAAATTGCATGTTTGGCATTCAAGTGATCCTTCTTTATTTTGGTTAGATACTTGTTAACTGACCAGAACAGGATGCGGAGTGTCAATGACATCATGCCCATGATTGGTGCTCGATTTTATACTCAATTGGATGCTGCTCAAATGAGAAATGATGTCATAGAGGAAGACCTTGCAAAGGTAAATTGTGTAGTTAAAAGAGTGTTGACACACTTGCATCTGTGTGTGTAAATAGATGTAAAACAGTAATCACTGTGCTGAATATAGTGCAAAGCTGAATAAGATGGTTTGCAGATATATTTGTCCAAACTTAATGTTCAGTATTCTGATTTCTTAGATCTGCTGGGCATTTATTTTGTTCTTTTTTTTGCTCATGACTTTGCTGTAGTCGTGAGAGACAGTCTTGATTTTTTTTTAATTGTTAATACTTTATCAGTTCTTAACTATGGACAACCGCATTGTCTTCTTGAGTATTACTGTTGAATGAAATGGACCTGTTGTGTTCAAAAGTACAACCAGAAGGTGGAGATGTTAGGATTTATTGTTTAAAGGTAATGTTGATACAGGATACCAGTTTTGTAAACTTTTGCTTTTATATTCAGTTAGCTGGAACATTAATATTCTCTCTCTTTTTAAAATGTTTTATAGGAGGTTCAAAATGGAAGACTGTTTAGGCTTCTAGCAAAATTGGGAACAATCAATGAGAGGCCGGAGTAAGGATTTACAGTATTTTACAATGTGTTGTCAATCAAGGGCACTATTTTGCATAACAAGAATGAGTATGCCTTATTCTTACTGGCTTTATTTGGAAGAAGGGAAGAATTCTCAGGTGAAGTGACCTTAAGCTTGTTGTTAGCCATTAGGGGGCTGTTTTTTAACCCCAGCCTGGGCGTGGTTGCCCCTGAGATTTCACATACACACATGCATGCAGAGAAGACACTGTGCTAGAAATCCGTCGTGGTTTGCACACGAGGGAGCGTTTCACGACCATCAGTACTTCCTCTGTCCTGCCTCCTTTTTGAAGCCTGCTCAGTTCAGTTGGCCTTGGTCAGATTCAGATAACGTCAGAAATTTCTAATTGTTGCGTGCCTCCTATCTTCTGTTAAAGTGCGGTATTGATCACTGTCGTAATCACTGACATTGGGTAGGGCTTACCGTCCAGCGTTATTACTTGTTGTTTCGCTGTGCCGTGCTTGCAAGTTAAGTTAATCATACGCTCAAGAAAGAAGCAGGGTTGATGTTTGCTCTTTATACCTGTCAAAGACGGACAGAACAGCAGGGCAGCTGTTGTGCCTGCAGTTAAGTTACATTTCAGGATTGTTACCTCTGTTAGCAGAGGTAGGTGATGGAGAAATACCATTGCTTGGGGGACTCAGTGAGCACTTCTCCCTATTGCTCTTTCTAAACAAAGAGAACATGACTTGACCCATGTAAAAGACCAGCTGTTTCTTTTGGCATTTATCTCTTTATATAAAAATATGGTTTGAGTGCCATTTCTTGCTTTCTCTTCAGTATCCTCCTCAGCTAATGACCTTGTCCTGGAAGATGAGGCCGTATCTTTCAGACCCCCTTCCCTTAACTAGACACACACATACACTTTGTAACCCATGAATTTTGAGAGAAATCTCTATTCAGTGTTGACGTTATTAAAACAAGGTAGCTGTACCACATAGTAAATCACGAACACATTTCCTTTCTTTTGTATTTTGTTTTTTGATTTTTGTTTTCCTGGTGTTAATAATTGTCTCATATAGAAAACTAAACAAGTAAAAAAATACTTACCACCAGTTCATTGCCGGCTCTCTGCCAGGGTTGACCTTTCCATATGGTCAAAAATAGGCACCCTGTCAGCTCCCCGTTTCCCTCCACCCTAGAGAAGTTGCCCCTGGGGCTCTGTTCCTCTTCCTCTCTGGGCTGGTTGTGCTTAAAGCCTGCGCACGTTCACTTTAGAGCTGGCGCTTCCCTTCACTCTTGCCCTGGGGGTCCTCGTGTCCCTCCCTTTGTGTTGGATACCCTGTTCCTTGCTTTTTCCCTTGGTTTATCCTTTTGAGTTAACGGAGCATGTCCTCCTGTAGCTTCCTGGGAAAGGTGAGTTTTTTGATTCTCTGAAAGTCTGAAAACGCCTGTATCCTAGTTCCATACTTTATTGTTAGTAGGATTGGGCATATAATTCCAGGTTGTCCCCAGAAAATTCTTATTAATTAAATCCTTTGAATAGGTTGTATACTAACTAATTTCTTAAGAAATAGAGAGATTTGTAGTGAAAAATGTTAAGTTTCTCTTTCATACCCGCCACCCTCAGTCTACCCTGTTCCTTCCACCAGTCTTTCATTTTATTAGTCTCTCGCACGTATTTCCCAAGTCCGCGCTCGTAACCACTGTGCTGTGCTGCCCCACGATTTCTAGCTGTGTGATAGTCCATCCTGTACATACTTGTCCTTTATTTCTCCAGTTCCTCATCAGTGGGCATTTGAGTTGCTCTCAGCCTTTTGCTAGCATAAGCAGTTCTGTGGGGACTGACTTAGGCACACTTAATTTTGTGTGTGCATAAATATGGGCCCAGCAGTGATTGTTAGGTCAGGGTCCACTGTAGTCTGATAGCTTAGAAGAATTTACCAGCAAACAGGGCATTAGAGTATTTCACCAACAATACTTCTCTCAAACTTTTGGATTTTTGTGAACCTAATAGATGAGAAAATGAATCTTAGTACAGTTTGTTTTTTTTTTTGTATTTGCTCATAATGAGCATGTTGCCAATCTTTTTTTTTATGTTTTTGATTCATTTCTATTTTCTTTCCTGTCTGTCCGGATCCTTTGCCTATTTTTGTTTTCATTTGGATTGTCTGTCTTTGATGTGCAGAAGCCAGAGAGATTTACCCTCTGTGATCATTTTCTTTTAAGTTTGTCATTTTTTTTGACCTCCTTATTTTTTTCCCATGTAGACTCTTTTATATGTAGTCTAATTGATCAAACTTCTTTTGTGCTTTTGGATTCTGAGTCTAATAAGATAGTTAGAAAGGCTTTTTTTACTCCAAGATTCTGAAGGAATAATCTTACAGATTCTGCTAGGATAGTTATGGTTTCATTTTTTCATATTAAAGACTTTCATATATTTGAAATTTATATAAACTATAAGGTATGAGGTCAGTCCGTCCCCCCCGGTGACTACCCAGTGGTTCAAAAGCTACTCATTGAATAGTCCAGCTTATTCCCTGGTTTATTAAGGCAGTGCTTCTTTGACACTGTCTTAACGATAGATGTCTTTAAATATAGTTGTGTTAGAGGTCTTTCTTTTTTCCATTTTACTGTTTTTTGTTTTCCTGAAACTTTAATTTTCTGGATAAATTCTAGAGTCAGCTTTTTTAGTTAAAAAAATCAGTAAACTTGATGGTATTTTTATTCAGTTTGTTGGTAAACTGAAGGAGCGTTCGTGTTTTTAGGCATGGAGTCAATCAAGATGATGGCCGGCATTATATTTGCTGGCGTCTACTTTAGTACTCGGTGTTTCAGGTTGCTCTTTATATAGCCACCGCACACTAAGTTTAATCTTGGGTATTTTTCCTTGTTGCTGTTATAAATGGAAATTTCTCCCCATTCTGTCTTCTTAGACTGCTTGTTACTGGTATACATGAAAATGACTGATTTCTAGGAATTTTGTGCCTTAGTACTTTAGTGCTTGGATGGTTTTTCAGTGAATTCTTCTGGGTTTCCCAGGCGTATAGTCATGTCTTCACATAATGATGCTTACGTTTCTTCCCTTCTAATTTCTGTATTTTTTATTTCTCTTACATGATTGTGTTAACTACTACCTCTAGTTAATAGTAATGACAGTTTCTTTCAGAATTTGAAGTTTTGCTCCATTGTCTTTTAATGTCCAGGCAGATTCAAAGCCATTTTCTTTCCAAATCCTTCTCCACAACCCGCATGCTTTTAGGACCTTTTTTTTTTTTTTTTTAAATCACTGATGTACAGAAATTCACAAGGATGTGCCTTGGTGTGGGTTTGGGGTTGATTTTGATGAGTCAGTAGTGGGCCTTTTACTCTTGGGAACTTGTGTCCTTCCATTCTAGGAAGCTGTCTTACTGTTTCTTTGATAACTTTTCGTGACTTTTTCTGGAATTCCCATTGCCTAGCTGTTAGACCTTTGCAATTGATTGTCTAATATTCTCTTCTATTTTCTATATTGTGTCTTTTTGTTCTACTTTCTAGGCAATTACCTCAACTTATTTTGTCTAAAGTCAAAGATTTTTTCCCCTAATCCTTTGAATTTTTAAATTTCTACTACCATATTTTGAATTTTTCAGGAGCTTTCTGCTTTCTAAATGTTTCTGTCTTACAACATCTAATTCTTGTTTCTTTGAGGCTGTCAATTATAGTTTTTGGTTAGTGGGGTTTTTTTTAACTTTTTTTTTTTATAATGGAAGTGCTGGGGATGGAACCCAAGACCTTGTGCATGTTAAGCATGCGCTGTGCCACTGAGCTATGTCCAACCTCCTCCCTGCCTTAAATTTCATTCTGTTCCCTGCAATATCTTATAGGAAACAGGAGTTTGCCTTGTTTTAATTTATTCCCCAAAGAATTTGTGATCCTTGGCTATTCATTGATATTAAAAATGAGGTCCTAAAAAGCTAATGGGAAGCTCCTTGTTGGGCAGGGGTTGTAGAATGTGTGGGAAAACATTGTGATACTCTATGTATGGTTTTTGCTTGTTGTTGGTAGACTCCCAAATGTTAATATTTCTCTTGGGAAGGTCAGCTTCTCCAGAAAAGAGTTTTCCACCATCTGTAGTATAAACCCATAGCCAAGCACTGAGGAGCCAAATAGTGAGAAAGCGCTGGTTGAATAGTCTCGCCCACCGCCCATCTCCTGGCTTGCTTTACCTGGCCTTCCGGAGGCTTGGAGTGTCTGTTAACTTTGTCTAGTGTCCTTTCTCGCAGATTTCTGTTAGGCAGAAGCAGGGGTGGGGATGAGAAATGGGTTATCTATTTGCTGTTATAGAATCTTTCATCAGTTCTATTTCCAGCCTGGGTGCACGCCTGCACCTGTAGTCGGACCTAATGACTCACTCACTGCCTGAGCCTCCCTGGGTGGCTTGTGTCTTGTGGCACCCCCCCCTTGATGCACCCGCCACAGCGTGAGTTCAGTGTCTTCAGGTCTGCCAGGTCACACATTTGCCTGTCTGCTTTCTACCTTCTAGATTTCTGTCAGTATGTTTTGTCTCCTGTTGTTTTGGATCCCTTTGTCCTTGTATGTTTATACCCTTTCTTAGACGTTTATTGTCAGTTTGGTGGGCCTTTGAAAAGGACCAGAGATAAATGGGCATGTTTATTTAATCAGCACTTTAATTAGAAGTCCCTTGCATGATCTTTGTAAAGCAGATACATACTTGTGCTGGGCTTCCCTCCTTGTTCTTGGAATGCAGACCTGAGTTTTAAACATGATCCAGGGCTGCATGGTCTGACCTCTCCCTTTTTATACTTGCTTCAGATCTGCCTCTTTTTCCTTTTAATGTCCTTTCGCCTCTTGTGCTCTGTGCTCCTGTCTCTCACCCCTCTGTGTCCTTGCTCCTCCTCTTTTCTCCCCTAGCCCCACCCAGCCACGCTGACCATTCCTGAGCGCCCCGTCCTCTGTGCTCCTGTCTCTCATCCCTCCGTGTCCTTGCTCCTCCTCTTCCCCCCAAGCCCCGTCCAGCCACGCTGACCGTTCCTGAACGCCCAGTCCTCTGTGCTTTGCAAGTGCTGCTGCCCGTGACTGGGAGGCTTCCTTCCACTCCCTCCTCTGGAGGGCCTTCCTCTGCTTCCCAGATGCATTCATATCTCTGACCTATGCCTTATCCCTTTTGCTTAATAGCGTTATCTAAATACGCAGTTACAACTTTTTTTGGTTGTTCGAATGTCTGTGTTTTCCCACCAGCCTGCATGTTCCGTAGATCACTGAAAACTAACCGTGATCATCTGGTCCGTTTTTCAGTTCTTTGTAGCTCACTTTCATATCATCACATGATGGGAGGAAACTGAAATCTACCCTCTTTTTGTTTTCTTAAACATTTCCCTATTTTATGCCCATCAGTAAAGGTTACTCTCTTTCATCCTATTTCTAAAGATATCTAAAGACATTTGCTTTCTTCCCCATTTTATCTAATGGTAGGGGCCTAAATAAGGAAGTGATTATAAAATTATTTTAAAACTATTTTGAAAATTATAAAAAGGAGTGTGTAAGGGGGTGATCACCTCGAGTAGAAACTGGTATTCATACTTTGATGTTTAGTGAGATTATTTTTTTAAAAACATCTATGAGCAGTCTGGACATAAAATTTGAAAAAAAGTTTTTTTAGCTTTCCCATAACTTTGGGAGGATTAAAAAAAAACTACACACACAAAAAAACCCCAACTTTCTTATAAACAATAAAATTAAACTAGTTTTGAGTCTGAAGTATAAACATGTAGCCACATGGTCCACAGTGTGAATTATTGAGATAAAATATTACCTTCCCCCAGGTTTCAGAAGGATCCTACCTGGTCAGAGACTGGAGACCGTTATCTGTTGAAACTCTTTAGGGATCATCTTTTTCATCAGGTGACAGAAGCGGGTGCTCCCTGGATTGACCTCAGTCATATCATTTCTTGTCTTAACAAGGTAATTTGTATCTGGGTTTTGAAGATCAGAATGCTGTCTGCAATTTATAGAGTTGCATCTTTTGCAAATACTAAGAGACTTAAGAAATTAAGGTGCTATTCTACTGTAATCTAGGAGACATTTTATTAATAATTGTTTGATATGTCTACTTAATACTAATTTCTAGAATGGGGAGAAAATTTTTTTAGCAACTACATGAATAATTTCAGAATTTTTCATTGTGAATCCTTTTGTTGTGATAAAATGTCACAAAATGACTGCCTCTCCTCCGCATACTGTATTTTATTTAACAAATGTAGTTTGTTACAACAAATAAAGCAATGAGTGGGAAAAACAAAAATAATTTTGTGTTTAAGTATCCTTCAAAAGTTGGATTCCTTTCTTCTGAGTCATCGTGAGTCGTGTTGAACGTGCTCGTGTCGTCGGTTTGTCCACCGTTAGCGGTGGGTCCTCGTCAGTGTGAGACTCGGAAACGCGCAGGACCACGAGCACTGGCAGGCCCCACTGTGATGCGTGGGGAGTCAGGTCGCCAGATGAATTGAGTAGACAGAGATGTCATGATTTGAGAGGCGGGCTTTGTGTTTCTGAAAGGGCTAGGAGAGAGACAATTTACAGAGGAAGGGAGGAGTGCATTTTCCTTATGAATTACTGGGAATTACAGAGAGCAGAATGGTCTAGAAGTAAATCCTAGCCTTTGAATAGGTTTATGTCTAAATCAGGGGTTGACAAACTGGCCTTTGTACCAGATCCTTTTGATAGCCTGTTTTTGTACAGCCTGCAAGATAAGAAAAGGTTATACATTTTTAAAAGATTGTGAAAACAAAAACAAGAAGAATATGTGGCAGACTTATATGTGGCCCTGAAATTTAAAACATTTACTGTCTGGCCCTTTATAGAAAACATTTGCTGACCCCTGGCCTAAACTGCCCCTAAGTTGCAGGTACTAGAGGAGAAGATACCTACGGTGGCACATGATTTAGGACTGTTGTCTGGTATGCTAACCCTTCAGGTGAAACACGTGGAGTCTTGTTTTTAAGCCCTGCACTACTTTTCCTCGCTTGAATTTCCTTAGAGCTCTTTAGAGAACATTGTCAGTAACGCACATGAAGACAGGACAGAACCGTATGTACCACTGAGCTCATCTGGTATGATTTATAGACTCAGTTTCCCTTTTCCCATGAAGGGAAGGTGTTTTTCTTGAGAGCACCAAGTGGAGAATAATTCTTCCAGATTTTCAAAAACAGTACCCAGTATCAAAGCCCCAGGAATTAAAAATACGTAGAGGTAGTGTGAGCACTGACAGGCAGATCCTGTAGGATAAGCTGTGGGCAGATATCTTGTATGAAGATTCTTTAATGAATATTAGAATAATTGAAAATTTGAAGAAATTCTAGTTCATTTCATAAAATAACTAGGAGCAAGTAAAATTTACCTTAAATCTGAAAATGTGACAATTTTTTTTAGGTTTGGAAAGAGTATAATAAATTAAAAGGGATGGATGACCATTTGATGATATAAAAATTAAAATTTTGCATCGCTTATTTTCATGAAATGATGACAAATTAAGTGGTAAAATGATTTGAATGGTTGTACCATCAGAAGTAGTTTTAAACACATTTTAATGAATTAGTGAAAAAGGAAGGGAAAATGTACATTGAAAACTTATAAAAAGTAAAGTGAAAACCCTAACGAGAAGTTATTTGATGGACTGTGGACTAAGAATTCGTCCTTATGCTTTATAAAGGCCTCATTAAAATACTGTTGCCAAATCCTGATAAGGATTTGATAAAGGTCACATACTGGCTTTGACACAAGTGGAAATAAAGTTAATGTGTGAAAACATTTCATAATATTAATAAAAAAATTTAAATTAAAATAGCAAGATACTCATTTGGTATAGAGTCACTGGTAAATTGATATGATTCAATAAATCAGTGGTGTCTGATATCCGTTGGAAAGCAGTTTGTATGTATTAAGCTATAAAATTACTCGTAAGTTTTGGTTGATTATTTATACTTTTAAGTGTTTCTCCTAGGGAAGTAATTCTACAGAAGAAGAAAATAGGTGGCTGAATGTGCTCATTGCACTGTAACTCATGATGCCAAAAACTTGGAATGTGTTGGGGGAGTAACTGAATTATGCAGTAATCATTGAGTATGCCAAAATTGAATACACAGCTGGATGGAATATAATGCAAACAGATGTTAAGCATGAAAGAGATAGGTAGCAACATAGGACAGTTTTTTAAAAAAACACAACCGGGTTGAAACGTATATGCATACTGATTAGTGGTGTGAAGTGTTTATGTATATACAGAGGGGGATGTGACAGAATATTTAAAAATGTTTCGTGTATCATTGTTTCAAATGTTGTCCTAAAAGAGATGAAGTAGATTATCTTCTGCATGGTTTGAAACTCCTCTTTTGTGTACCTGTCTGTTTCAGTTAGATGCTGGTGTGCCAGAAAAAATAAGCCTCATTTCCAGAGATGAGAAGAGTGTGCTTGTGGTGACTTACAGTGACTTAAAGCGATGCTTTGAAAATACTTTTCAAGAGCTGATTGCAGCTGCGAATGGTCAGTTGTAGTATTTGCTGAAAAAACAGGCGGGATCTGGCCGAGGAGCTGAACCAATAGCAAATTGCACTACAGCTGAACTGTTCTGTCATCTCATTTCGCGTTTGGGAAACAAACAGCAGATGAGCGGAGCTGCTTGCACGTCAGTCAGGTGCACTGTTACTTGAAAGGAAGAATGTCTCACTTTTCCTCGAGCTGTGGCTGCCGGTGGGGCCACACCTGTGAAGAATTTTATTTTAGATTAAGGAGCACCATTAGGTGAATGATGTTCCAGCTTTTCTTTTTCCCACTTGTATATGCACTAATTTTAATTTTTTAAAGACTTTTTTCTGATCTTTGAACTTTTGCCACATTGTATACTTATTAAGGGAAATTATTTGCAAGGACATCTTGGGGAAACAATGCTGGGGAGCATTTTTGTCACTGAGGGTTGCGGAATTTGCTCCTTTGGGGATGGGTTGCCCTGAATAACATAATGGACCAGGTAATGATTTCATGGAAGTACAGTATAGTGCATAATTCTTGTAAGAGTATTGTATGCAAGCTCTGTATGCCACCCACTGTTAGTTCAAATTGAGATTATTTGTGTTTTTTGTTTTGTTTTTAAGAACACACAAAGAGAAATATCAGTGAGTTGTTGGATATAAATTCCCCTGTTAGTTGATTGAAATCCTTTCCAAATGAGGATTGGATAAACAGTAACTGAAGGAGCACACAGAGCTCTTTGCTCCAAATTTAGCCGGAGCCTTTTTTTAAAAAAGGTGTTTCCCTGCTAATCAGATACATTTACATTTATGCCATTTTTTTAAATAGAAAAAAAAATTAAGAAATTGTGTTAAAGGCCTGAAGTTCAGGAGTATATTGCTTTAGGTTACTTCCAGTTTGCTTTTTTGTGTAAAGTTCTGTTCTTTGAACCACAGCTTTATTATGGTACTTGACACTGGATACAGACACAGACGCTGTTCAGAAGGTGAACTGAACACGGCAGTGGTCTGGCATCAAGAGCTTTCTGCAGTTTTACAGCCTGAATCTGGAGGAATAACAATCTGCTGTGCCTTTGCAGTCACTGCTTCGCCCAAAGTAATAGTACTTTTGATAATAACTTAACTATGTGGGGTATTCCTGAGTAAGTCAATCTCAAAAGTTTGGAATTCTCCTCCTCTTAACTTTCGTAATATTTGGACGTGCAGTTGTCGCCAAACTGGGTATTCATGGAATTTCTAGCTAATGAAATACCTGTACTTTGATACTGAAGACTGCCAAATACATAGGAATTTTCTTTCATAAAAAACAGTAATGAAGACTGCGTCTCCTTTCCCAGCACTGAATGTTTTACCTGCACTGGGTGCTCACCCTGCAACCATGAAGAAAATGTGGAAACTCAAAAAAGGTCAGGAAAGACTTCCAAGCACTTGCAACTGATGTTACAGTCTTCAATTTTAATAATTATACATATTTGTAGTTTTCAGAGAAGTTTTTAATATTTCTCTGTACACTTTTTATAAGCTTTAAAATGATTTTCTCTGCCTTGAGATTTGCATCAAGAAAAAGCACCTCTGTTCACCTGAAAGCTTTGAAGACTAGAGACATGCTTTCCATGTTTTACCAAGTGTGTTTGAGTCCACGTTCGGTAGCATCAGTTGTTGAGTTAAAAAGAAAATCAATTACTGCATTTGATCAGGATGGATTTTAAAAGAACATAATGCTCAATATTCAAAGGATAATTAACATTTGCCACCATAATGTTCTTTTTTATGTAAAAGGACAAGAACTTAGAGACATTAACATGCAAAAGTCTTTTATCATTATTAGCTCATGTATTTGAGAAAGAGCAGCTGTCTTTTTATATGTTTTTTGACAAATCATATTGTAATTTTTTTGTACAAAAAAGAACTACTTGTATTCTAGAAGAAATATGAAATGCTTAATTTATAAGCGGGCTGGAGATTTTTTCCAATATTATTTTCTTTGAAAATGAAAGGGGATCATCTATTTTAGTTTTGGGGTCTGGGAACTTTTTGAAAATTTCATTTGTGGACCAATGTTTTATGGAAGCTAAGGAAGGGCAGGGGTAAAATAGGGCTTGATTTTCTCACTCTGTGTAGACCAGCAAACCTCCCTCTGCAAGGCAGGCTCAAATTACAAACCCAAGAGTGTTTGCATCATAAATGCTAGTTTGCTTCAGCCCCTGGTAACCTCAGGACTTGGTTTGAATATAAAAGGTAGACAGCTGATGTGTCTTCATGAGTAAATATTGTCAGCCAGAAAAGAGTTGGTGTCAGGTGATACATTTTTTTTTTAAGCCTTGTTTTATATTTATTTTTCATCTAGTTTTTATTGGGAATGGTTTTCAATAGAACTCTTAGTTCTGCTTAGGTGTTTTTTTGGGGGAGCCCTCTTATCCATAGTGTAATTCAACTTAAGAGGTTGTCTAAAAATTAGTCTTTTTAATCCATAGGAAGATTTTAATATCCGAGAGCACTCAAATTAAGGATGTAAACTTCCCACGTCTTCCTGTTACGAAAGATAAAAGCACAGAAAGGACAACCCTTGAGATCATGCAACGTGGTCATTTCCATCTTTGTGCCTATTTTAAACTCTGTTCGTGTATTTACTTCATTGTAAATATTTTCGAGGGTACCTTTGTATTTTGCTTTTGACCTTGGTTCTGTGGTTTGGGTGTCAGCAACTTCCCTAAAAAGCACCAGTATGTTAAGTTCTAATGTCATGATCCCAGTATGGGTTATTCATCTTTCATCCGGTTTTCAGTCTCTATGTGTACAGCAGTATTTTTAATAAAGAATTACAGAGAGAAGATTGTCCCTCCCCCCCTTTTTTTTGATACCAGTTCATTTCACAAGATGATACTTGTCTTATGATTGGGGTTTAAAAGGCTGAGTATTTCATATGTGTTCTGGAGGAATTTTCAATCTTTGGATGAAATGGTAGAAGATTTATTCATTAATTTACCAAGTATCTGTTAATTGCCTAATTTGGATGTGTTCTGGGGACTAAAAATGCAGAGAGGAATACTTGTTAATCACAGAGTGTTCAGCTATACCCAGCGTTTCTGAATCATGTGTGCCAGATGGTGCAGTTCAGGGGAGAGCTCCTGCTTCCGTGGAAGGGTAAGGAATGACGTCCAGCTGGTCCTTGATTCGGGACTCAGGGAACTGACAGTATGGGTGAAGGTGCCCCTCCCCCCACAGCCTCCAGAAACATCGTTCGGAATCTAAGGGTAGATCAAGAAGGCACTTGGTGTGGGGCCTGTTAAGTTTGAGATGTTTAGTACACATTTGTTCTGGTTATTGTTTTGTAACAAGCGACTCCAAACTTCATGGCATAAAACCACCACCATTTCTCCTCAGGGATTCTGTGGGTCTGGAACTAGGACTGGGCCGGGATGGCTTTTCTTTAATGTGTTACCCTGGGTCTCAGCTTGGAAAACTCCAGAGGCTGAGGGCTGAAATCATCTGATCTGGCCCCTGAACTGAAGGACTTGAAGGCTGGGCTCAGCTGGGGACTGTCAGTGGGAGCACCCACACATGGCCTCTCCATGGGGCTGAGGCGTCTCCAAGCCTGGTGCCTGGGTCTCTGGTGGGAGCTTTTGGAGAACATGTGCAATTGGAGACTCCGGTGGAGGCTGCATGATCTTTTCTGACCCCACCTTGGAATCACACAGTGTCACTGCTGCCACATCCTGTTGATACAAGTGACTAACAAAGCCAGCTCTGATTCTAGGGGAGAGGAATTGTTTTTTTTTAATTGAGTTATAGTCAGTTTACAATGTTGTGTCAATTTCTGGTGTACAGAACAATTTTTCAGTCATACATGAATATACACTTATTTGTTTTCATATTCTTCTTCACTGTGAGCTACTACAAGATCTTGAATATATTTCCCTGTGCTATACAGTAGAAACTTGTTTATGCTATATATAGCTGTCAGTGTCTACAAATCCTGAACCCCCAGTCTGTCGCTTCCCACCCCTCTCCCCCCAGCAACCACAAGTTTGTATTCTGTGTCTGTCAGTCTGTTTCTGTTTTGTATTTATGTGTTTTGGGTTTTTTTTTCTTTTTTTGTTTTTAGATTCCACATATGAGCGATCTCATATGGTATTTTTCTTTCTCTTTCTGGCTTACTTCACTTAGAATGACATTCTCCAGGGACATCTATGTTGCTGCAAATGACATGTTGTCATTTTTATGGCTGAATAGTATTCCATTGTACAAAAACACCACAACTTCTTTATCCAGTCATCTGTAAATGGACATTTAGGTTGTTTTAGGGGAGAGGAATTTGATGGACAGGTGGCAAGAACATGTAGCCAAAGATCACGTGTGATGGAGATACTGTTGGAACTGTTTTTTGGAGAAAAAAATCTGCCACAGCATCAGGAGGAGATGTCAATTTAGCACTCACATACGTGAGTTTGGAGTTAGGGGGAGAGATCTGGTCTACACGTACAACTTGCAAGTCATTGTCATATAGATGTCATTTAAAGCCTTGAGATTGGTTGAGATCATGAAGAGAGTATAGACTGACCAGAGAAAAACAGTAAGAGACAGAAATGACCAATGAGATAGGAAGAAAAACCTGTAATGTCCTGGAAATCAAAGAAAATGTTTCTAGGAATAAGGGTAAGGTGTTTAAAAAGTCAAGAAAGATTGAGACTGAAAATGGCCATTGGGTTAAGCAGTATGGCGGTCATGGATAAACTTATCATAGAGCAGCTCCTTTTAGTGAGAGTGGAAGCTAGGATTGAGCAGGAGGAATCAGAAACAAGGAGTATAACCAGCTCTTTTGAGGAATTTTGCGGTGCAAAGGAGTAGAGAAATGAGGTGGTAGCTGGAGGGGAAAATAGGGAGGGAGGTTTGTTTGGTTTCACAAGATTGGGAGGAAAAATAGCATGTTCGTATGGTCCAATGGAAAAGGGAGAAATTGACGGGTGAGGGAGCGGTGAATTGCTGGAGCCAAGCCCTCGAGCAGATGAGAGGAAGGGGTGAGGGCATCACTGCGCATTCTGAGTCGGCCGTCCAGAAGGGAGGACTTCCGTGTGTACAGGTGCTGGTGGGTGGGCAGGTGTCATGCTGGGATTTTGAAGTTCTCTTGATGCCTTTAGTTTTCCCATCGATGTGAAGGGTATGCTAGTAGTACCTGTCACATTGGATTGCTTTGAAAATGAAACGGACTTCTTTTTCTAAAGCACCTAGAATATTTGCTGGCATATAAAATGCAGTTAATACGTTCTAGCCTCAGACTAAGCCCTTACTCTTTTTAAAATGGGTTTCTATGGAAAGTTGTGGTAGTACATCAGGTTTTTTCCTTTTAATAAGCTTTTTTGTTTTCTCCTTTTAATAAACTTTTTATTTTGGTTTTTTTTAATCTTTTTACATTTTTTTGTTATTAATAATCTTTTTGGAAGAGTAGCATACACACACACTTTTGCCAGTAAGTGTACAGCTCCATGAATTATCACAAAGTGAACACACCGTATGTACCACACCCAGATAAAGAAATAGAACATTAGTGACATCTACTTGGTTTTGGAGTTGTTTTGTTTTGTTTTTTTCTCTTAAATTTCCTTAGTTCAAAAAATAGAAGGCTGATCATCCCTGTGTTGGGACCCAGGATATTTTTGAAATATTTCTGGGGCTGTGAAACCCAAAAGTCTGGTAATATGTTTAACACTGAAGGGTCCAGTGAACCTTACTGGGCCATCCTTCTGCTGGAGGAAAGAAAAAAAAATCAATTCCCAAATGTACTGTTAGTTTCTAGAGTCATGAGAAAATTTCTAAAGTATGACGTGAGACCAATTCCTCAAGCATTCTTCAAATCATTTGCCCAAATGAGTGACTTTCATGTTATGAAAAGCAATAATGTTTTAAAGGGGTTTCAAATTCTTGTAGATAAAATGCCTTTTGCCCTCATCAGCTAACCACAAATTTACTGGTATTAGTCATTTATACCTTTTTCTTGCCTTTGTCCTGAAGAAAGTAGGCCTGTTTTCTTTGAAAATGTTTCTCCAGTCTCGTTTGTTCATGGTGTTAAGACAGTGTGTTGGTCACTTATTCTATGTCTGTTAGTGATTATCGAAATCGTTTCTCTTTCTAGGATTCAATCCACAAAACAAAATTGAAGAATACTTAGCTGGCATCCTTAAGGAAGCTCTTGTGTCTTAGGCTTTTGCCTAATTATTTGTTACGTTTTCCTGCACAATCTGTAAAACACACACATACACATGACATGTACACACACCCGTTCTGTCACTGTGGCAACTATTGGCTGAAGATTAGCGTCTGGGAAAACATGCCTCTTCTCGAGTTGAGGGCACTCCTTGTGCAGCCAGCACGCACCGAGTCTGTATGTTCCACTGTGACCCTGCTCACTTTAGTGTTTCGTTTCCTGGGCCGCCCGCTGAGTTTGATTCACCGGTGGTGGTGTCTCGATCCCTCAGAGGAGCTGCTCTGTAGGCTGACGGACAGAAGCTCTGTGCCCCGTCTTAAGTGGTGCTCGCTCTCATGCTGTGCTTAGTAACTGGCATCTCATGAGATCTCCCGGAACGCCTGTCCCCCACCCCCAGGAAAAGACCCTTTTAAAAATGTGCACACAAAATAGAAAATATATAGATGTTTTTGGAAGTTAATTTTATTATATGAAGATAGCATACAAAATACATTCATAGTGACTAGAGATGTAGGACCACATTATGTCTTACTTATATCTGCAGCATATATTCTTGGTTTGTATAAAAGTAACTTTAAAATTCCAGTTTCCTTAAATAGTTATGCACAAAACACACACACACACACACACACACATATACATATAGTTACTACCACTGTCAGTCAAAGATGCGCTCCTTCTTTAATCAATTAAAAGGGGCTGGCAAGTATTACATTTGCCATTCTCGTGGGCTAGGGAATAAGGCATATCCAGAAGACCTAGGCAACATTTTCAGAATTTGGGCACACTGGTTCTGCAGGCTGAGACTCGGGTCTGAGCATCATGCTTAGACTAGATGCAGGCTTGCGCGTGGGTCCAGCCCCCTCCCCCCACTCCCTGTCAAGGGTACACGTCCCCCCAGTCCTGAAAGGACGTGCTTGTCCCTGCACTGTTCCCACCTACCATTTTTGTCAGAAATGGCAAATGGTTCAGTTAATCAGTGTTGAAATTTTCAGTGCTGCTCCAGTGAACTAGTCTGTGGCAAGCCCTTTGCAGCTAGACGTACTCACTACCCCCAGCTGGTTTTCTCTGCGTTAGGACTCCCACTGGAACAGCTGGCCTGCGGACAGACCCGAGCCTTAAGGAGGCGAATTAACATCCTCTAACAGGTTCTTTTTGTTTTGGAAAGATGGTATCATTAAGGTCTCTTGATGACTAAGAGTTAAGAGTATTGAAATCGAGACATTACAGGTATAACTAAGGTTTTTCTTTGTTTTCCCCAATTGCTGGATCCTTAACCGATCTGAAAAAAACAAGAGAATCGATCGTGGTCTTCTTACATTTTCCCTGTTGCACCTCCTCCGGGTTACCTGACTGATACTGTGGCCAGCGGTCACAGGTGCTCTCGTGCTTGGAGACAAGAGGGCGCACGAAGTCCTTGCCCCCGCCTGCCCTGGCTGGGTTGTGTGTGGATGTGACTTTTGGTGGAGACTGGCCAGAGTCCCCCCAGCCAGGCCCCCACGGGAGCAGCCACTGTCTCGCCGGGGACAGGCCTCCTCTCCCAATCTCTTCACTCCAAGAGCCTTGAAACAAGACTGGCACACAGGGAAGGGGTCCAGGCTCGCATGCCCCTTATGACTAAGGCCCTCACG